CTGCGACTTCTGAGATAACAATTTCTAAGTTCTCTCCACCTTGGGAAGCATCACTCGCCTTCACTGGTTCCCATGAGAAATCTGCTTATAGTGACATCTAACCAGTCTGGGTGAAGATGAGGCTATCGAGAATAGTCACAACCTTGAGAAGACAGCTTTCTCCATCTCCATAGCTCTGCTCACTCTCTGTCTCTCCTTTCCTTCCTCCTATGTTGCCTGCAAAGCACCAAATCTACTTCCTAATGAGCCAAGTCATTCAGCTCCCCCTCACTTCTACCCTCAGGGAATCCGCTTAACCCATAAATATTAGCCCTCTGAGAGCCAGAACCTCCCTTCTTGGAAAACACTTGGACTTATTTATTTCACATGTGAAATGGCTATGAGGCCAAAGGTCAATGTAATAGAGCCATCATTGAGCATAATAACCTAACACGTAATACCCTCAACCTAGGGTGGCGGTGAAGGAGGTGAGAGTCATGGGCTCATGGGGCTGCAGATTACCAGACTTATATACAAGTGGGGGAGCTGAGCCCTGAAAAGAAGCAGGGCTTCAGAGGTAAACTGGCAACTAACAAAAATGTCATCAAGCACCCTTTAAAAATATATTTTTTGTTGTTGATTTTTTTTTAAGCAAGAGCAGAAGGGAGAGAGAGAGAGAGAGAGAAACATCAATGTGAGAAACATGGATCAACTGCCTCCTGCGCGCCCCCTACTGGGGATCGAGCCTGCAACCCAGGCAAGTGCCCTGACGGGGAATTGAACCGGGACCTCTCAGTCCATGGGATGACACTCCATCCACTGAGCCACACTGGCTGGGCTCATCAAGCACCTTTAAAAAGCCAGTGTGTTTTCAGGACTCTGCTTGTACTGTTTTCTTTCATTCTTACACCTCCCCTTCCAGGAGAACTACATTCCAGGACACCCTTTGCTCAGGACATTCCTGGTTTTAGCATGAAAATTCTCTCATCCTGAGGTCATCCTCTGTCCCAGGCAAACCAGGATGGCTGGTCTTCTTGTTATAATTCTTCTTGTATGGGGAGGAAACTGAGGCATGAAGAGGTGAGATAAGTTGTTGAAGGTCACTGAGCTAGTAAGCGACAGAGCTGGAATTAGGACACAGGTTCAAATCTTCCACGATGCTCCATTTTCCCTTTTCTTATTTATTTGTTTGTCTGTTTGTTTTAGAGAGGGAGAAAGAGAGAGAGAAAGGAAGAGAAACACTGACTTTTTGTTCCATGTATTTATGCATTTATTGGTTGAGTTTTGTACGTGCCCTAACTGGGGATTGAACCTGTAACCTGTGTGTCTCGGGACGAAGCTCTAACCAACTGAGCTACCTAGCCAGGGCCCCCTTTTTCTTAAGAAGTCTGAGGTCTTTAAAATTACCAACACAGTTCTGCATCCTCTAGCTTTGGTTACTCTTGTACCGTGGTCATGTTCTACCATTGTGCGCTACTTCAGGTCTCTCTCCATCCTCCAAAACTCTGGACAAAAGCCTTCCCATCCAACACTATGCTTACGCTATTTCCTCTGCCCGAGGTGCTTTTCTCTCTCCCCTTCCAAATGTCTTCACCCGGCTAACCCCTACTCATCTTTCAGGTCTCAGACCCAGCAACCAATTCTTCAAGATGCCTTCCCCGGCACCCCCAAAAGGTCAGCAACCATCACCCCCTTATAGGTGCCCAGCTGTATCTACAGGTGTACCCAGAAACACACATCTCACTTGTACTCAATTTTTTATTCTTCTATTGGCTGCTTCTCTGTCCAGACTCAGCTTGTTAACGTTCTCTGAGAATGAGGACCTTGCCCGCTTAGCTTTCCATGTGTCCGCCACACCGTGCAGATAGTAGATGCCCCGCTAGATGTTTGTTAGAGAGAAAGACTGACTGCATGGTGGAGCCTGAGTTATCTATCTCATCTCTGGTAGCATTTCTGCCTCTGCTCTCCTCTGATTGGTCAGGGATGCTTCCTTGGTGGGGTCTAGGATCCCAGTCTTAATAATGATTTCTCTCTCTACTCTGTACCACCCTCCGCCCCTGCCGGAACCTGGCTGCCTGAATTCTCACCTCCAGATAAGACAGAAGAAGAAAGTAAGTACCGGGACAGTCCCAAATTTGGGTCCTTGGGATTACCTTCTTGGAAACCCCTCAGGGCCTGAAAACTCCTTAAAAGTTCTGGGGAAGGGCCCTGGCATTCAAACATTGACCTGGGGTCTCCAGCATAATCAGCGTAAACAGACTCCACTAAACAATAAAGCTGTGTAGTAGAAAATGGGGGAAATATGTCATAGTGTCAACGATAAATTTTTTTTTGAAAGAATGAAGCTGTGGGGGATGGGTGGGAAAGGGTGCTCTGATTGGGAGTGATTGCCAATTTCTGTGGTGTAAATACTTTAACTCTGGCCAATTTCAAGCTACTCATGGTTTCACATCTGGTTTGCAAAATCTGTAAAATTTTAACCCCCCCCTTTTTTTGTGAGCCAGCTCCAGCATGGGGGTGCAGTGGACAAATAAGGTTAGGGTGAAGGTTCCGCTCCATCTCCAATCTTCTATCTCAAGTCCTGCTTCCACTTTCCCCTCAAGATGCAGAGGCAGGTGATTCAATGGCACCCACCTGTTTGGCAGATCGGAACAACGCTCTAACCAGCTGATCAAACTGATCAGGGCCCCATCTGTTTTGGGTCATTAGTTAAATCCTCTAAACTAAACACCTCTAGTGACTGTATAAATCTCCCTTCTTTCACTTATACATCAAGATAATGATGTCCTTATTATTTTAAGATAGCTTCCCTATGACTGTGAGATAGGTATTTAGTAAAGTACAAAAAAAAGTGCATTAAAAAATGTGAAATCTGACCAAGTAAGGTCAATAGTCCAGTTAGTGGTATGGAGCCAATGTCAATTTACTGGTTTTAATAACGTACTAGGGTTATGTATGATGTCACCATTGGGGGGAAGCTGGACAATGAGTATGCAAAATCCCACTGTTCTCTTTTTGCAATCTATAATTAGTACAAAATAAAAATCTTAATTTTAAGACTATCTAGTGAAGGAATAATGGAATATACCGGGGGGGGGTGTTAATGTTGATTTTATTCTCTCGCTCACTGCTTTCCACATGGGCTTCGTGACTTCTGGTTCTGCTGCACCCTCCAGTGAAAAGTAAGCTATTTATTTTTGTATGGGTAACATGGATGATGGGAAGAGAAGAAAACAAGAGAGAGAAGGGACTCTTTGGGTCCTTCTCCACTTAAGAGCCATATTACAAGAGAGACCCTCTGCTAAGGGAGTTCTCCTACTGTCTCCATTTCTGAAGGAGGCTCGGATGAGCTGTGGGGGTCCACATGCCCCATGAGATTGCATGAAAGTCATGACAGTATGTCGGGGATGTGGGCCTGACAGGGTAGGTGAGCACATATGCATATATGGTGCTGAGACTTGATTTGATTCTCAAAAGCCAAGGACCACTGCCATAGAATACAAAGACATATTGAGTTGCATGTATTTGTTGAGAGGGCTATTGAATAAGAAGGGCCTAAGAGATGCAACTCTTTTCTCAAGCTTTCTCCCTCCTGACCCCTCAGGAGAGAAATGAGATAAAAATGGGTCAAGGGGGTCTTCTTCTGATAATCTTCCTAATCTCTGGGGACAAATCCCCAAGGAAACTGGGTACCTGGGGATTCTGGACACCTGGATAAATGTGACTCCAAAAAGGGCAAGTATGGTAGAAGCATCTAAAGTCACCTACCCTGGCCCCCAGCCCACCCCATGAAACTGGGAAATGCTCTCGCTTCCCTACTATGAAAGGGTCTCTTTTGAGAACCAACAGGGTGGGATGAGCTAGGAAGGAGCCGTTAACACCTTTCTCATCCTCTCACCCCTGTTTCTGTTGGTGCCAATGGACTCCTACTGGATTTTCTCCTCATTGCTGTTCACATCTCAACAGTATTGAAACGTAAGACTCTTGTTCCGCATCCCTGCCACCTCCCCTTTTTGCTGTGTTCACTTTCTTATGTCTGCGCAAAGGTCCATTCCTAGCCATGGGTCATCTCTCAGAGCATTTATTTCAGCCCAGGGACTGGGGAGAAATACATTACCTTCCCCTTCAAAGAAGTGGGATATCTTAGGAGAACCAATCCACTCCTCAAGTTAGGGATATGGGCAATGGGATGATGATGATGATGATCTAAAATTCATTAAGAGTTTCTTAGGTGCCAGGCACTGGAAGCAATACCCTTAATGTAGTAGGTATTCCCCCACAATTTCCTCTCGAGGTAGGCATTATCCATCTGAAATATGTAGATGCCGACAACATGGCAACGTTAAGTCCATGGATGAATGGTGGCTGCCTTCCCAATCTAACCCTGATTTAATGCAAGTCCTTTAAGCTATTAGATTCCTTTCTGACCCACACAATGAGGTTTCGGCCATCTCTCCTTGTCCTGCTCTCTGCCATAAGTCCTAACTGCCCACCACCACCCACCTGGGCTCTGTTCTCATTGGCTCCTAGTCTCCTGCCTTCTGATCTTGTGTTTTTTCTCCCCCCTCCTTATGGTCTCATCTCTCATGGCCCCTTAAATTCAACACTCTGGACTTCATGAAACTGACCATGGTCTTGCCTCCTGGACCGTACTTTCTTCTGGATGGGTGACATCAGAGATTCTAGGTGAGTATATCACTCCATCTCTGACTTGGGATTTTGGTAGAAATCTTGTCTGGCAAGAGTATTCTTTAATACTTAGTGTGTGCCAAGACCATGGAGGGTGGTGGAAACCCAAAAAATAAATCTAATGTTCTCATACTCTACATAAACTCATAGTTTGATGGGGACAGATAGTTATACTACAATATGAATGCATGTCCTCAGGGAGGGGCAAGGAGAAAAAGTGAGAGGTAGCTTGGGGTGAGCTTGTTGAATCTGTTGGTCTGGGGGCATTTATCATGCTTCCGGTTGCAATTCAATTTGTATGTTGTATGTTATTTGTATGTTGTCTTCCATAGGTTTGCTGAGCCTCCAAGTGTTAAACGGTAAGTGGTGACTTTGCTATTTGGCCTCACTATTTGTTTTTGGTTCCACACAAAGAAATAGACAGTTACTAGCTTTTTTTTTTTTTTTTTTTTAATGTTGGGAGAGCCTTTAGATATCATCAAACCTTATACTCTGTCATCACCATTAGCATTAGCATCATAAATGTTTAATATTTTTCATTCATCCAATAACAGATACCAATAGATATTGGCTACCCTGTCTAAATCCCATTTTAAGCATTGGAGATATAGCAGGGAATAGAACAGACAAAAATCTGTGCCCGGATGGAACTAATGAGAGGAGAAAGGAAAAAAAATAAGGAGATAGGTTAAGTCTGTTGGACACTGAAAAGTCCTATGAAGGTAATAGAGGAAGAGAGAGGGAAATGCATCATGGGACAGGTAGAGATAGGTTTTTAAAGGGTAATCAGGGAAAGTGACATTTCAGTAAAGACTTGAAGGAGATGACAGAGCCAGTCATGTGTATGACTGGGCTAAGAGTGTTCCAGGCAGAGGGAACAGCATATGCAAAAGCCATGAGGCAGGAGAGGGCTGGGATCAAGAGACCACAAGGAGTCTCATTGCATCCCCTTCTCATGTGAGGCACCCAGAAGCACTGTGTACAATTTGGTCTCCATCCATTTCATAATTCATTGATGGTTTCTTTTCTTGCTTTCTCTCTTCCTCCTCTGCCTTCCCTTCCTTTTCCTTCCCTTCCTCCCTCCCTCTTTCTGTTTCTTCTCCTCCTCTTCCTCCTCCTCCTCCTCTTTATTCCTCTTTTTTTCCTCTCCTCCTCCTCCTCTTCTCCTTCTCTTCCTCCTCCTCTTTATTCCTCTTCTTTTTCTTCTCTTCCTCTTCCCCCTCCTCCTTCTTCTTCCTCTTCCTCCTCTTTCATTTTCAGAAGAAACAAGCGACTGCAAGGAGGAAGGTGAGTGCATGGAATCTGGAGAACAGTGAGCTCCTTCAGTCTGGGTTACCATAAAGCCTTGAGAAGATCTCAGGTAACCAAGGTCAGGGCTTCAGTATCTGAGAAGTCCTTTTGAAAGGGCATCCAAGGCCTGGCTGGTGTGGTTCAGTGGTTGAGCGTTGACCCATGCACCAAGAGGTCACAGGCTCGATTCCTGAACAGGGCACATGCCCAGGTTGTGGGCCCAATCCCCAGTGGGGACATGCAGGAGGTGGCCAATCGATGTTCTCTCTCATCCATGTTTCTATCTCCTTTCCTCTTCCTTCCTCTCTCTCTAAAATCAATAAACAAAAAAATTATTTTAAAAGAAAGGGCATCCAAGGCCTTCACACTACCCTTCCCCTTTCATACTGTTCGCCAGTATCAAGGTGACCCATTTTTGTTTCTCCCAGTCACTTCCGTTGACTATTGAACCTTGACCCCTCTCTAGATGTTACCAGGCAAGTCCTGAGTGACAGGACGGTATGGCTAAAAACCAAGAGAAAGAACACAAGAGAATATAAGCAAGCTTCTAGGTGACCTATATATTAGAGAGAGGCACTTTAAAATAGGTAGGATTGTTAAGTGCACCAAAATAGATGAATAATTTCATCAGAGAATTATAATTGATTTAAAAAGATAAAGGGAAATTCTAGAATTGAAAACATATAACTGAAATGAAGAATTCAGTATTTTGGCCTTAACACCAAAAGAATGATCACAGGGCTAGAAAACAGGAGCGCTCATTCAAATGAAGCATAACAGAAAAACGATAGAAAACACAGAAAAGAGCACAAGAGACATATGCTACCCTGTGAACCGTTGTGACCAATGGAAAGTTAGAATTTCAGAAGGAGGAGCAAGAGAAAGTAAAGCTGAAATAATTTCTGAAGACTTAATGGCTAAGAATTTGCATGTGGATAAAAATAAATCTCAAGCAACAGATTTTGAAAGTTCTAAGAACCCCCAAGGGGAAATATGTAAATTTTTAAAAAGCACTTCTAGGAACACTACCACAAAAGAGTTGAAAGCCACAAAGAGGAAAAATGTTAACCTCATCCCGCAAATAAAAAACGGAATTTATTTCCTAGGGTTGCCTTAACAAGTAATCATACACTGGGTAGATGAAAACAATAGAAATGTATTTTCTCACTGTCTGGAGGCTAGACACTTGAAACCACAGTACAGGCAGGACCATGTTATCTCTGAAGGTTCTAGAGAAGAATGTCTTTGTCTCTTTCTAGTTTCTGGTGTTTGCCAGCAAATTCTGACATTCCTGGCTGTAGACAGTCCCACTCCAATCCTGCCTTCATCATCACATGGCATTCTCTCTAGATACGCGACACAGAACATTTGAAAGAAAAATCATGAAAATGACCATGTAAAGTACATCCTTGCGCTGCTCACTAAAAGAAAGTTGGCATAATTATTCCAACAGTTCTGAATGTTTTCACACAGTGACATACTTTTTACATAAATAAAACAAAAATTGACAAAACTAAAGGAAATGGACAAGTCCATGATTATAGTGGGAAACTTTAACACCTTTCCCAATAGGTGATAGAGCAAGTAAATAAAATTTATTAAGACTATAGAAGATCTAAACAACAACTAACAAACTTATGTAGGTTTCAGGTGCACCCCCAATAAATTCAATAAAAAGGAAAACAAAAACAAAAAGAGATTTAAAAAGTAACTAACAAACATGACCTAGCTGATGTATATGTAACTCTGAACGAAACATTGACAGAATGCACAGTCTTTTCAAATAGACATGAAATTTTTAAGAAATTAAATTTCTTGGGGTAACATTGGTTAATAACATTTATAAGTTTCAGATGTACAGCCTTATATTGCAACATCTGTATACTTCATGTGTTCTCACCATCTGAAGTCTAGTCTCCTTCTGTCACCATATATTTGACCTCTTTACCCTCTTCGACTCCCCCCTACCTTTTTCCCCTCTGGTAACCACCATTCTTTTGTCTGTGTCTGAGTTTGTTAAACATGGAATCTTTGTCTTACCAAGGTTGGGTATATGTCAGTTCATAAAACTAGCTTCAATCAATTCCAGATTGAAGTCATTTAGAGTATCTCTCTGAGTACAGTGATATTTTTTATGCTATAAATTAACAATAAAAATATTAGAAAATCCAAACCTGTAGAGTAATAGTTATACTTCTAAATAACCTATGGACCAAAGGATAAATCACAAAACAGTTATAATTTTGAATTGAATTATAGTAAGGACAATCATTACTATTATTTTTTAAATCCTCACCTGAGGATATTTTCAGATATCTTCAGATGGGGGGGGGGGGACATTGATGTGAGAGGGACGCATCAATTGGTTGCCTCCTGCATGACCTCGACCAAGGCCGGGGACCAAACTACAACCGAGGTACATGTCCTTGGTTGGAATCAAACCCGCAACTTTTTGGTCTGCAGGCCAACCCTCTAACCACTGAAACAAATTGGCCAGGATAGGATAATCATTATTAAACCTTGTAAGATACAGCCAAAACTTTACTTAGAGGGAAATTTATAATCTTTTTTAAAAATGTTTTTTTATTTACTTTTTTTTTATCCTCACCCAAGGACATTTTTGCGTTTATCTTCAGATGGAGTGGGAGCGGGGGGGGGGGGGGGAGAGAGAGAGAAATATCGATGTGAGAGAGAAACACATCAACTGGTCGCCACCCACACGACAAACTGCAACTGAAGTACATGCCCCTAGTGGGAACCAAACCCAGGACTCTCCGGTCCACAGGCTGACGCTCTAACCACTGAGCAAAACTGGCCAGGGCTAAAATATGTTTTTATTGGGTTTTCTTTTTTTTAGAGAGAGCTGAAGAGAAAGAGAGATATAAATATCAATGTGAGAGAGAACCATCGATGGGCTGCCTCCTGCATGCCCCGTACTGGGGATTGAGCCCAAAACCCAAGCATGTGCCCTGCCTGGGAATCAAACCAGAACCTCTCAGTCCATGGGATGACACTCAGTCCACTGAGCCACACTTGCCCAGCAGAAATTTATAATCTTAAACACACATGAAGAAAAAGGAGCCCTGGCCAGTTTGGCTCAGTGGTTAGAGTGTTGGCCAGTGGACCAATCAGTCGTGGGTTTGATTCTGGTCAAGGGCACATACCTCGGGTGTGGTTCTCCCTGGCCCTGGTCTGGGTTGTTAAGGAGGCAGCCAGTCGATGTGTCTCTCTCACACTGATGTTTCTCTCTCTCCCTCTTTCCCTCTCTCCCTCTCTCTCCCTCCCACTCTATCTGAAGATAAATAGAAAAATATCCTCCAGAGGATTAAAAAGAGAGAGAGAGAGAGAAAGGAGGGAAGGTAGATAATAATTTACAGGACATATATGCATACATTTCAAAGAGATGGAGAAAGGACTTACAAACTACAATTTTTTTTCAAAGTACATTCCCTATGAAAAGGGAAGAGTATCTCCCTCTTACTTTTCAACAGGGAGCATTATTTTTTTTTTTCTTTTCCGATTTGTATTTGCCTTTACACTGGTAATGTTCTATTTTTTATTTGGGGTGTGTTTGTCAGAAACCCAGAAGTAGCAAAGTTAAAACCACAAGATCAGTAAAAGGGCATTAAGAGTTTATTGTTCACGTAAGAACAGTTCTTGAACTGGGAGCTTTCAAATCCAAAAATAATATGACCTTGAGAATGGAAAATAAAGTGTTTACTCTTTATGATGATGGTTATTGTAATAGGGGTTTCCAGACAGCTGTGGGATTGGTTAAAGTAATTGCCTCACACCGTTTTGAGGAAGAGGACACATATTTCATGATTATCACAGGCTTTTAAAATAACTGAAGTTTTGCTAATGTTCATGAAATAAGCTAAATTTAGTTCCGCTTAAGTGGCTCAAAATGGTTTTGTCTGCTCAGGGAATTTTTAAGTTTGTATTTAATTTTAACAGTTTATTTGTAAAACTGAGTTTTTTTTGTATGTGAAACTTTCATTAAAAGTTAAAATTAAAAAGGAAGGACAACACAGGGAATATGGTCAATAACACAGTCCTAACTATGGTGTCAGGTGGGTACGAGACTTATCAGGGTGGGGGATCACTTTGTAAGTTGCATAAATATCTAATTACTGTGTTGTACACCCAAAACCAACATGATATTACAATTCTGTCAAGTATGATTTTAAAACTTTTTTTTTTTTATCCTCACCCAAGGACATTTTTCCATTTTTTGTTCAGATAGAGTGGGAGGGAGAGAGAGGAAGAGAGAGAGAGAAATATCGATGTGAAGGGACACATCGAGTGGCTGCCACTCGCATGACCAACCAGGGCCGGGGACAAACTGTAACCGAGGTACGTGCCCTTAGCGGGAACCGAACCTGGGTCTCTCTGGACCGCAGGCTGACGCTCCAACCGCTGAGCCAAACCGGCTAGGGCTGATTTTAAAACTTTTAAAAAGATTTTTTAAATTAAAAAAGATGGAAAGAATGTTGGGCAGGTAAAAGTGACATGGGTGCACCACACTAGGTCTGAATTGAGGAGGTGGTGTGGTGAGTTCTGGGTGTTAGAAAGATCCTCCTTGCAGACTCGTGGGAGGTGGTTCGAGGAAGCGGCAGGGTGGAGTTGGAGGCTGGAACAACAGGAGTCTGCAGGACAGCTGGTGAGGCTGGTGCCCTGGAGATGGAGGAGAGACATGGAGGAATTTGGCAACATTTCAGTCCAGGGGGCAGGTGGAGGAGGTGTGGGGGTAGACTTGGAAGGGAGATCTGCACTGGGAAAGGAGGTTCGGAAAGAGCAGGGATTTCTAGAGGGGACGGCATGCCTTCAGTGTAAGTCACTGCCCTCCACTCCTCCCAGTGAAGCATCCCCCAACGACCATCCCCACCACGAGGCCATTCAGGAAGAGGAGCAAATGGAACATATTGAGATGCGCCTACATGATGGTCACCTTCTTGTTTGTGACCTACAATAAAGGAGACTGGGTAAGAAGGAGCCTGGTACCTAAGGAGGGAGGAGGGCGGGGGAGGAGGCAGTAGGAGGAGAGAGAGGCAAGGGGGAGCACAGATAAGGGAGGAAGGAAGCCACAGGGAGGCCAAGCAAACAAAGTATGGGAGAGGAGAACACTGTATATGAAAGCCCTCCCTCCCCCCTCCCCCTCCCTCCCTCCTCCCCCCTCCCCCTCCCTCCCTCCTCCCTCCCCCCTCCCCCTCCCTCCCTCCTCCCTCCCCCCTCCCCCTCCCTCCCTCCCCCTCCCTTCCTTCCTCCCTCCCCCTCCTGCCCTCCACCCTCTCTCTTCCCCTCCCTCCCTCTCTTCCTCCCTCCCTCCCTCTCCCTCCCTCCCCCTCCTGCCCTCCGCCCTTCCCCCCCTTCCTTCCTCCCTCCCTCCCTTCCTCCCCTCTCTCCACCTCTCCCTCTCCCTCCATCCTCAGACTTGGATAGCAGTTACTTCCTTCTGCATTAACATAGCCTCAAAGATTCCTATGAAACACCACCACTCATTTAGTCATTCTCATTCTCTCTCTCTCTCTCTCTCTCTCTCTCCCCGCTCCCTCCCTTCATGTAAGGGAAACCCTTAAGGACCAAGCATTTACCATCTCGCTGGAGATGCTGGAAGATGGGGCAGAACATGGGAGTAGTGAGAGATGAGGCCGAGTAGATCAGCAAGACCATGGAGGTGAACAAGAGGAAAGAAGGAGAGAGAGGTGGGCGGGAAGGAGGCAGTGGGGAGAAAGGGGAGGTGGCAAGGTGACTTGCCTCACCCTTACTATTTTTTCCTCTGTTCCCGGTTTACTCCTTCGCCAACCTCCCAGTGTTACTGCCACTACTGTTACACAGAATTGGACATCAGGTACGGTGTGGCAGGGAAGGGGGTTTTGCCCAATCCTAGGGTGGGAGGGCTTGGTCCCGACTGCCTGGTGTTTGAGTAGGAAGATGCCAGGTGAGTTTAGACACTCCAATTACAGAATCACAGGACTGTATAAACACTTTCAAGTTCCTCACTGTTCATTTCAGGCCAAAGCTTGACACAGCCCATGAAGACCATCACACATGATAGGAATTTGGAATGCTGGATGAATTAATTTATGAATTTTTTTAATAAATTTTGTGTTTTTTTTAGTTGTGGCAAAAACACCTATAACATAAAATCTACTGTTGTAACCCAGGAGATCGACCACACTCAGACTCAATTTTTCAGTTTTTGGGGATGTTTTATTACCTGCGCAGGGACTGCAGCCAACCTACACAGAGGAGAACTGCAGCCCCGAGCTCAGGGGGAGGGTTGCTTATATAGGGCAGGGGTCATTCAAGAGTTTAGCAGAGCAAGCAAGCTGCGTGTACAGAAGCGGAGGCAGTTAGCGATAAGCAGGAGGGAACGGAGTGGGGAGGGAGCTGAGGCGAAAGGGAACTGGGTCAGCACACATCTGTCCTGCTATTCATTCCATTATCCAAAGTTTAAAAACTAACAAATTCGAGACAGATATCAGCGGTCAGTCAGGTGCAATACACACATGTTGAACAGTTACAGTTTTATGGGGTAAAGGGAGCTTCAGTTTTTCCCTATCAGTTTCTTTACAGAGCATGCAGGACACTCTGGCCTTGGGGCCGTTTCTGTCCTCCCTTTTCTTGAAGGATGTTGCTTTTCAAATTCCCAGTGAAGGTCAAACTCTGGTTAATTTTTATGGGGCTAAAGCCCTCTACAACATTCCCCATTGTTCATCTTGCTGTCTCTGAGGTTGTTAATTAGGGCAGCTCAAAGACAAGTTGGATTTTAAGGACAGTGAGCTACAACACTACCAGTAGTGACATTTAATGCAAACATCACCACTATCCAGTTCCAGAACCTTTTTATCATTCCAAAGGGAACTCTGTCCCCATACACAGTTTCTCTCCCAAGCCCCTGGCAACCACTAATCTATTCTCTCTCTCTATGAATTCACCTATTCTGAACATTTCATATAAATGGAATCATACACTATGTGGCCTTTAGAGTCTGACTTTATTCACTTAACATACTGTTTTCAAGGTGCATTCAGGTTGTAGCAGTACTTCATTATTTTATGTGGCTGAATAGTATCCCATTGTATGGATATAACACATTTTGTTTATCCATTCATCATTTGAAAGACATTTGAGTTGTCTGCACCTTTGGACCGTTGTGAATAGTGCTGCTATGAACATTTGTGTACAAAATGGTTTTTTTGGACAACTGTTTCCAATTATTATTATTATTTTTTTTTTGGTACATGCCCCTAGCGGGAACCGAACCCAGGACTCTCTGCAGGCCGATGCTCCAACCGCTGAGCCAAACCAGCCCAGGCTCTTTCCAATTCTTTTGGGTACATACCCAACGTGGAGAATGAATAACGTGGAATTGCTGGGTCATTTGATAAGTCTATGTTTCAGTTATTGAGGAACTCGCTCAATAAATTTTTGTTGAGCAACTACTCTATGATGAACTCTGGATTAGTTAAAACAATAAATTTTACGTTACGTGGATTTTACCACAATTAGAAAAATACTATAAAAGGGGTGGAGGCTAGAGTCACCCTTGAGCTGTTTTTGTTTGTGGACCCCTAAACTAGACCATGAGACCCTCTTGGAGCAAGAATCAACTTAATCTGTCCCTGAGACTCCAAGTACCCAAAGAAAACTTTATATAGTCACTCCCTGCACCAACCCTTTGTGCTCCAGTGTGCCACATTGGGGTACAGTGGGCTGCAGCAGAGGAAGTCCTTGAGCTCATAGGTCTCCTTCTGGTGGAAGGGCAGGGGACAAACTAAGTTACAGGAGTTTCCTTGGAAGGCCTGACACAGAGGACCTGGAGAGGTCACCTTCTTTCCACTGGTTGGTCAGAAGAACCTGTCTCTGAAGAGGAGATATTTGTACTGAGTAATGGGGAGAAGCCACCTGACTGAGATCGATGGAAGTGTGTCTCAGGTGGTGAACAACCTGTGGGTTGGAGGGACAGAGTAAGTGGAACATAGTGAGTGATTTATCTAGGATGCAAACTGATGTACTAATACATTTCTTTCTTTTTTTTCTTCCTTTCCTTAGAAATGACCCCTGCTGTTCATTCTAGCAACCCTCCCCATCTCAGCTCAACCTTCATGGGTGCTCTATCTCCCAGATAGTCTCACCTTCCAAGAAACCTCCCTGTGCCCTGGCGTGCAAAATTGGAGGGTAATGAATTGAATCCTTTGAAGAATAACACCTATCTTCCCAGAGGCATGATGGGAAGGTATCTCTGAGAGCCACTCGGAGATGGGTTGAGAGATTAGCTGAGTGTCGGCAGGGGTTTCCCCCACAATTCTTCCAGACCTTTTTCAACTCTTCCCCACTGTTTCTATAATAAAATGTACACTTGTTGAATTGGCCAAATGCTCAGTTATTCCATTCACCCAACATGGAGAATTAATAACGTGTTTAGGGCTCTGGCCAGTTTGGCTCAGCAGTTAGAGCGCCAGACTGCGGACCAGAGAGTCCCGGGTTCGGTTCCCGCTGGGGGCATGTACCTCGGTTGCAGTTTGTCCTTGGCTCTGGTTGGGGTCGGTTGTGTGGGTGGCAACCACTCGATGTGTCTCTCTTGCATTGATGTTTCTCACTGTCTCTTCCTACCTCTCTCCCTCCGGCTCTATCTGAAGATAGATGCAGAGAGTGTCCTTGGGTGAGGATAAAATAAATAAAAAATAATGTGCCCTGGCCAGTTTTGCTCAGTGGTTAGAGCGTCAGCCTGTGGTCCAGAGAGACCCGAGTTCAGTTCCCACTAAGGGCGCGTACCTCGGTTGTGGTTTGTCCCCAGCCCTAGTTGGTCGTGTGGGTGGTAGCCACTCAATGTATCCCTTTCATGTTGATGTTTCTCTCTCTCTTTCCTCCTCTCCCTCCCTCCCATCTATCTGAACAAAAAATGGGAAAAAAAAATGTCCTCAGGTGAGGATTAAAAAAAAAAAGTGGGGCCATTAAAAATACTTTAAGACATCTAAATGTACATTCATTTGCAAAATTTTTTATATCGGACCAAGGTTTTGTTTTTAATATTGTTCATGGTTGGACCTGTGGTTGTGTTTGTTCTTGGCAAACGTGACTTTGCTAAAGGAAGAGTGGTAAAGCAATTGTTAAGGAAATAAAGACTTTACTCCTCAGAGGGTAATTTCACATGCTTTAGCCCCAATGGCAAGTGGGCTTCTAAAACTCCTCCAAAATGAAGGATTTCTCAAGTCAACTAAACTTAATAAAAGGAGGTGGGTGTGGCTGTGTTAACACAAGTGTGTCTGACCGGTCTTATAGGACACTATTATCTTTTCTTACAGCTATTTGTGCAGATAAGGGGCAAAAATGGTGGTACAATGTCCTTTATCCCAGTGAAACCCAGTATTAGTAACTAATTTTTTGTTTAAAGAATCCTCACCTGAGGATATTTTCCCATTTATCTTCAAGTAGAGTGGTAGGAAGGGAGGGAGGGCGAAAGAGAAACAGAAACATCAATGTGAGAGACACACATCCACTGCCCACCTCCCCCATGACCCCAACCAGGGCACAGCTGAGATACATGCTCTTGACCAGGAATCAAACCCCAGACTCTTCATAATATCTCCTTTCTTGTTATCTTTGCACACAGGTTGTTGTGTGTGTGTTCTTTCGGTATAATGTTCATTTGGGCCCAGTCCAAAGCTCGTCTTGCCCTGTTTTAACATCCAAAGGTTTGAGACAAAGCGCGCCAGGCACCTCCTCTGGGGGGGGCCGCTCCCGATCCATTTTCACGGCATTCCATTGATTATCGTTATTATTATCGACACAGGCATGAAACCGTAAAGTCTAGGATTCCAACCCAACTAGGAGCAAAAATAATAAACAGAAAGGAGCGCATGAATTCCAGGGAAGTCTGTGAGCAGATACAGAAAGTAGGCACCCAGGCTCAATGCTAGGTTCTACTGACTTTTTTTTTCTATCTTTTTTATTTTTCAATTACAGTTGACATTCAACATTACTTTCTATTACTTTCAAGTCCACAGCATAGTGACCAATTACCTAATTTAAGAAGTGATCTCCCAGCTTCTTCTCCCCTATAATTCTACCCGACATGCGCAGTTCACAGAAGCCGCTGGTCCCACCACTGGCTCCTCCCACACCAGGTTCTTCACCACCCTCCCAGGCGCATGCGTCCACTGCCTTCTCCGACGGCCCAGCGTGTGACCCCACCACGCAATGGGCGGAGAGCAAGCGAAAGATGTTGCCATGGTGACCGCACACGCTCAGAAACGTCAACAAATGGCATCGAGCTCCCCTTCTCCCACCCCGCAAACGACCCCCAGGCCCGCAAATGGGTCGACCATCGTGCCAGGACCTGGAAAGTGGAAATATAGAGGGAACGCCAGGGTCGGGGACATTTCTCACGCTCATCAGCAGCCCTGTCGCTCGGCGGCCACTTCTGGATCTGGGATGGGGTCGCCAGCTATCAGCCGGTCCTCAGCGCGCTGAACTACAACTCCCAGAAGCCTCTGCGGCAACCTCCCTCCTCCTTCCTTTCTGCTTTCCCAGCAAATAACAGAAGGCGACAGCATTTGCAAGGACTTTCTATGCACGAAGTCATCCCTGGATGGAGGTATTTTGGTCACAATCTCTTTTTTATAAACAAGTGCTCTCCTGTTTCTCTGCCTCTTTGAGACTACAACACCCAGAAGACTCTGGGCCTCTCAGGGTTGCCTTGGAGACGGCGAGACGCCGAGAGCCTGGCGAATGAGGCGGGGCCAGGCTGGAAGAAGGACTCCGATTGGCGGAAAGACCACTCCGCCTGCTTTGAAGAGCAGGCCAGGAGTGCACATGCGCACTGTGTTGGCCCGGTGCTCATTCTTGGTTAGCGGAGGATGACGGGGTCCGCAGTCCTGTCACCCGAGCAGTTTTCTCAGGTCGCGTAGAGTTAGGGGCCGAGTCTGCGCATGCGAGGCACTCGGGGCTCGTTCGGAGGCCAGAAGTGCGCGCTCCAAAAAATAAAGTACCCCTGAGGTGAGTACGACCCCTCGTTCCCCCGCCCCGGTTTCCGAAAGGGGTTGCCAGTCTCCGTGGTAACAGCCTCTTCACGCTTACCTGTGACGTCACAGCTCCCTTTGCCGGGTGGGGAGAGCAAATTTGAAGGGCTTGTTGATTCTGCCCCGCGCCCCGTCCTCCGGGCCGCTGGGGGAGGGTGAGCCGGTACCCTTTCACCCTCTCTGGGCCTCGGTTTCCCCTCTTGTGCCCCTTAGTAGTTCTGGGACCCCAGACAAGGTACACACGCCCCGTGCCTCAGTTTCCCAATCTAAAATGAGGATGATGATAGAATCTGACTTACACCACTGTTGGTTTGCTTGTTTTCTGTATTGATTTTAGAGATAAAGGGAGAGACAGAAACATGGATGAAAGAGAACATCCATTTGCCATCTTCTGCACCCCCCCCCCCCCACTGGGGATCAGGGCCCACAGCCTGGGCATGAGCCCTGACCCGGGATCCAGCTGGTGACCTCTTGGTGCATGGGTCATGCTCAACCAGTGAGCCACACCAGCTGGAGTTTAAGGAGCCTTAGTACAGGGCCTGTACCCAATGACCCCTCAGATGCTGACGTCTTTATTTATGTGTGGGGATTTGGACAAATGCTTCTCCTCCTCTGGGCTTCAGTGTGTGGATCTGCCTGATCTGCTCAGGAAGTTATGGTTTTTTTCAGTTCTCTTTCAGGCTTTCTCATTAGCAAGGTAAAGTATGCCAGCCTCTTCAACTGTTTTGGGCTAACCAGTGCTGCTGTAACATTCGTTAATCTTTTTCATTCCTACATCCTATAGAAGTATTTGCTTGTTCCTGCATTGGCTTCATTCAGTCACTAACCACTTCCTCCAAACTAACAGTCCTGGTCACCCCTTCCCCTGAAGGAGCAGCTGGGGAAGACACCACTGTCCTGCCTCTTACATCTCCCAGTCTTGGCAAAAAGTGGTCTTATGTAGTAGGTGTCCTTTAGGGCCCATTGGTACAGCCTCCAGGGTCACCTGAGCTGGGCACTCCAGGTACAACCTCATATGAGCTGTGTTCGCCTCTTGTAGTTGAATCTTGATGGCTGTTAGCACATGAATAGAAAGGATTTAGCCGTAGGCCAATTGACTTTAAGGACCTTTTTTTTTTTTTTTTTTAATGATATAAGGACCTATTTTTGTAGTTGAATCTTGATGGCTGTTAGCACATGAATAGAAAGGATTTAGCCGTAGGCCAATTGACTTTAGGGACCTACTTTTGCCCCACCCTTTATATCTTTGTGAATAAATGTTTTCAAATTTTGGAGATAGATATCTAGGCGAGGGGTTACTGGGTCATATAGTAACTCTATTAATTTTTGTTGTTAATCCTCACCTGAGGATATTTTTCTATTGATCTTTAAAGAGAGTGGAAGGGAAGGAGGGAGGGAGGGAGAGAGAGAAACATCGATGTGAGAGGCACATCGATTGATTGCCTCCTGCACGATCCCAACCTGGGCCAGAGATCGAACCTGCAACCCAGATACCTGCCCTTGACCTGAATTGAACCCGAGACCCTCCAGTCAGCAGGCCACATTCTAACCAATGAGCCAAACCAGCCAGGGAAACACTATTAATTTTTTGAGAAATCTCCAGACTGTTTTCCATAGTGGCTATACCAGTTTACATTCCCACCAGCAGCAAATGAGGATTCCCTTTTCTCCAGAACTTCCCCAGCACTTATTATTTATCTTATTGATAACAGCCATTGTAACAAATGTGAGGTGGTATCTTATTGTAGTTTTGATTTGCATTTCCCTAATAACTAGTGAAATTGAGCATGTTTTCATATATGTTGGCCATTTACATGTCTTCTTGGGAGAATTGTCTTTTCAGGTCCTCTGCCCAATTTAATTGGATTATTAGTTTGTTTGGTGTTGTGTTTTGTTTGTTTTTATCCTCACCCGAGGACATTTTTCCATTTTTTTGTTCAGATAGAGTGGGAGGGGGAGAGAAAGAGAAACATCTACATGAAAGGGACACATCGAGTGGCCACCTCCCACACAACCCAACCAGGGCGGGGACAAACTGCACCCGAAGTACATGCCC